CGCGTGTCTGTTTATGTGGGTTGCGTGCCTGAGACAGAGAAAGACAGACAGACAGACAGACACAGAGAGAAAGAGTGTGTGTGTGTGTGTGTGTGAGAGAGAGAGAGAGAGAGAGAGAGAGAGAGACAGTAAGAGAGATAGAGGGAGAGAGAGAGTGTGAGAGAGAAAAAGAGAGAGAGAGAGAGAGAGAGAGAGAGAGAGAGAGAGAGAGAGAGAGAGGGGGGGGTTGGGTTTATTTCGGGATGGTCAATGTCTTATCATTACTTAACTAGACCAAGTAGCACCTCTCCCTGTGAGATTACTAACGCCACAGCGTGACTTTTTACTACAAGACAATGCACCGTGTGCACAGCCTGTAGACCAGTGAGTGCTTGCCAACCTTTGTATAGCCACCGATCATTTTAGCAACATTTAAGGAGTGGTAATAAATTGAAAAATGTCAACAATATCCATTCTGGCCGTCATTTCCAAGTTAACCCTTGAACAATGACTCCTGTTGTACATCTAGATCTAATTCTAATCTACATCTTCTATATAGCCTACCGTGTTAGTTTGAAAACTATTGCTTCATTAGCAATAAAAAAATATGTTCTAGAGGCATCCTTCCTCTTTCGTATCGCTCACCTACAAGACATATTTTTTAAGCTAGCGGGGCATTCATTAATACCTGTCACTACCTGGGTGATCACCACCGCCAACTAACAAATTATAACCAATAATATAAACAACAGTGACACAACAACAACAACAACAACAACAACAACAACAACAATGACAACAACAATACCATCCTCATCATCAACAACAACCCTCTCTCCTAAAGCAAATCGAATAAATAAACACAAAGCAGAAAAACGACAACAATAATGAAAGACGCTTATCAAAACCTAAACAATCCCCCTACTATAACGGAGCAAATGTTAGGCAGCGTCGTGGAATCAGGCTCCCGTCAATTTTTGAGCATTTAGAGAGATTGGTATCATCTTAATCTTAAAGCTTGTTTACTTGTTGTTGTTGTTTTTTTAAATGAAAAAATATCCATATATCTTGAATACGAGTCGATATATTTGCAAATGAAGGAGGTGGGGGTCACCTGTTTTCAGAGGTAAAGTTAGTGAGAAAATGGCCGCCAAAGATTAGTTATTTCCTTTCGCTTAAGAGTCTGTGGTAACTGAAAATTTACATTTTTTGTGCCTTTAACCAACGCCTTTCAGAAAATTCCACGCAGAAATTAGTTCTTTAATGGGCATTAAAGGTGTAGAACTTAAAAAACTAAAATTTGATTAGAATTCACAAATCTGCGGAAAAATGCAAGTTTCTTCACTTTGATTATTTTGACTAGAGCCTGATTCCACCACGCTGCCTCGCAAATGGTAATGGCAAATGGCAAGACGTCGAACTATGTTATGCCTGACATGAAATAATACGAAGCAGTAAGTATCTCCGAGATTGGCAAGAACTGGACTGTAAACAAAGCAGCCCTCAAGCAACTCACAGGATCGCAGCACGACGTCATCATCTCTTCGGCAGACGTCATATCCTCTGTTTCGGCCCCAGCCTTTCCCACTTCCCTCGCTGAGGTTATCGTCCAGTCGCCACAACGATGTCTGTGTGGAGTGGTCGCTCACCTCCTGGCGAGACGATGGGGTACAGTATCGTAATGATAATGATGATGAGGATGATGATGATGATGATGATGTTACTACTACTACTACTACTACTACTACTACTACTACTACTACTACTACTACTACTACTACTACTACTACTACTACTACTACTACTACTACTACTACTAGAAATAACTAGTAATAATAATAATCATGCTTTGATAATGAAAATGATATTGATAATGATATTGATATTACTAATGAAAATAATCACAATCACATAATAATAGTAATAATAATAATAATAATAATAATAAGGATAAGGATAATGATAATGATAATGATAATGATAATAATAATAATAGTAATAATAATAATAATAATAATAATAATGATAATAATAATAATAATAATAATAATAATAATAATAATAATAATAATAATAATAATAATAATAATAATAATAATAGGAACTTGTTAGGGGACTGTACAGTTCACGAGCGTTGCTTGGATCTACCGGGGGACCGTGCGGTGACAGTGGCCATTGTAACTACAGAGGAAAATGTGGTGTGGATGTTTACGCTTGTATTGATTTAACATACAGTGATTTTAATGTCCATCTGGAACAGGACTGGGGCACGGTATGAGAGTGGTAAAGCAAGTTCCAGACATTAACCCATGTTCTAGAATGTCACATTGGAAATTCAAACAAGAGTACGAGACCCGCCACCCAGTACCTTACTGTCCGGATATGTGTGCACCTACTGATCCTCAAAACCTTTACCCACGGGAAAGCCTATAACTCTGCACCAAGGTGTACAATTCACACAAACTTTGATAGGAAGCAAACTGACCCGCCAGGAAGGAGAAACACTTAACAAAAACAACGGTACCTTGAAAGCAGCCTTGGCTACTTCGCAGATACAGTTCATAGTTGAACTACGTACTTTTATGGTTGAAACATTATATCGAAACAAATTACACTATGCAGACACGGAATTTCTTCTGTAAACGGTTTGGAATTAACACCAAAGACCGTAAGAAAATACCAAGTAAAGTAACAATACTTATGTGGGTGGTGGACTTCAAGTTACATAGCTCTGTTGAAAATAAAATCAAGAGATAAAAAAAAACTAGGTTCACCCACAGTGGGAGACCGATACAAGTGCGTACTCTTGAGAATGTCTGACAGTGGTGATGGAGTCTGTGAGCGAAGAACCTAAAAAGACAGTTCGTTGTCATAGTATTGAAATGACCTTTGCTGAAGAATCTGTTCGACGCACGAGGAAGTACGACCTGAAGTTTAAACTGTTCCAGATCAAGGTACATCAAAGGCTCAACAAACGGAAATAAGTCATCATAGACAATCTCGTCTAGCGCCTCAGAGCCTGCATCACCCGAAACGGACGTCACATGGAGCATGTGCTCTAACTTCCTTCAAACTTGGATTTCTTATTTTAAAATTTGTCACTATAAATCCAGATGTTGACCAAGTACCTCTGTAAATTCCTGTGTTTTCATCTCTATTTAAACCATTTTATGGGTGTCTCCATGGGTAAAGGTTTTCTGGGGGCACCTGGTGTGTGTGTATATATATATATATATATA